CCTGGGGGTCTAGTACTCCACACACCTCCCCTAGGGGTTTAGTACTCCACACACCTCCCCTGGGGGTCTAGTACTCACACACCTCCCCTGGGGGTCTAGTACTCCACACACCTCCCCTGGGGGTCTAGTACTCCACACACCTCCCCTGGGGGTGCAGTACTCCACACACCTCCCCTGGGGGTTTAGTACTCCACACACCTCCCCTGGGGGTCTAGTACTCCACACACCTCCCCTGGGGGTCTAGTACTCACACACCTCCCCTGGGGGTCTAGTACTCCACACACCTCCCCTAGGGGTTTAGTACTCCACACACCTCCCCTGGGGGTCTAGTACTCACACACCTCCCCTGGGGGTCTAGTACTCACACACCTCCCCTGGGGGGCGGTCGTGCCCCGGGTAAAAGATCTCGGTGTTCTATTGTCTCAAGACGAAATAGGGTCAATGGGCCCCCGTATGTGAGGCCGGCGTTCCTACTGAGAGATTCGCATGGGCCTAAAGTGCTCTCTGCTACCTATCCAATGAGCAATTCCCCATTGACGTAGTTCGCTCTAGGACTGTCACCAAACATTTTTGTAGGGAGAAGTCAAGAACAACTAATCAAACACTTCTTCGAGTGTACGGCGGGGATGTCCTCTTCGCCAGTCATGACCGCGCCAATATAAATTGGTAGTGTGAGTACCTAGTCACAAATTACCTCCACCACTTTGTCTTCCTTCCTCGTTGAAAACGATTGGGAATGTATAACGTTCAGCGTATTACCAAAAATAGAATGAAACTCAACCAGGAATAGAGTGAAACTCACGTGGAACGGAGCACAGAACCCCCCAACGACATTAAGTTTCCAATGTGGTCCAACTAGTCATGTACGCCGGTGGGTGCCAGGTGCAGTAATATGCTTCAACTCACAGTTATATGGACATGTGAAACGAAACTGCCTTCATGAAACATCGTGCCCGCTGTGTGCTGGCCCGCCACAACCGAGCAATTTCCTCCCTAAAACGGAACCACTCAAGCCATGAACCAAACGAAGGGGAGGCTAAGAAGACGCTTCGTTAAAGTGGGTGTTAATGCTTGGCATAGTGATTATCAGGCAGGGAAGACGCACAGTCACAAGGCACAAGCTTGGCTGGGACTGATCCTGTTATTAACAAGCTTAGGTACACGAATCAATGTGTTGTTATCCTATGCTATATGAAGGAATTCAGAGTACAGATCAAGAGCCCTGCTGTGAGTTCATCTAGCATCACCATCTCACAGATAGGTTAGTCATACGTGGAAAAGTGAGAAAACGTGAGATGGGAGTCTAGTCTACCAGCCAGCATTAGCGAAGTCTAGGTAGAGCACAACAATAACTTCCCATATTCGTGAGTGTATGAAGTGGTTACAGAGCTCAAAGAACCCCACACTACTTGGTCTGAAGTCGGTGATAGCTTTGCACTCTCAAAATATAGTGTAAGAGTGTATCGTACAGCTCTTGTTGACAATTCACAATTGGGATGCTCACTGCTGGGAGATTCAATATTTATTTATTTATTTATTTATATATATACAAGAAGGTACATTGGGTTTGTGAGAATACATTGGATAGTACAGTAATTACATTCTTGTAAAGCCACTAGTACGCGTAGCTAGGCCGTAGGTCCCCAATTTTTCAGATTTTGTTTCCAGTTGGATTTTAAATTGCAGTAATGTCTTAGCATTAATAGCTCCGTGGGTAGACAGTTCCATGGATTTATTTATAAATATATTTATAACCCTATGGATGAAACAAAAATCTGTTGACCAAACCACTCATCAGAAGATGAAGAAACGACGTTTCGGTCCGTCCTGAACCAATATCATAAAAGAGGCAAGAAAGCTGACATAAATAATTATAGACCCATATCAAATCTTCCTATAATTTTAAAAAAATTAAAAAAATAATTTACAAACAGCTCTATTCCTACTTTGTAGGAATAGTACACCAATATGTAACCATCAATAACATAACCTTCCCTACTCTACCATTGTGCCACAGGGCAGCATTTTAGTTCCTTGGGTTTATAATCCAATGGGTAAAAAAGCAACTCCTGTTTTCAGTTCTACGTTGTAGCTTGGTTACCTTGAAGTCGTTTTGTTGCTCCTTGTTTGTTATATCTTACTATTTGAAGAAATTGTCTGGAATGAAGCCGAGGAACGGGGCGTAAGGACGCTAATCTCCGAAGTCATCGCAAAGTAAGGTAGGTATCATCATTCTCCTCCAAATTGTTTAGTATTTTAGGTTTCTATGACATGAGCCCTGTCATGCCTTGTCTGCAGTGTTGCTAGCCCTGTGGCCCTCAACTGTTCCTGTTATAAAAGTCTACTTAATTCTGGAATGAGTTTTGTCGCTCTGCGTTGTGCTTTCTCCAAAGCAGCCAGTCCAAGCTTTACATATATATTTCTGGCCAGGGGGAGAAAGATACTGGCAGTATGGGGCGTTAAAGTTTATTGAAGATTAAATTCTGCAGAACATGTAAATATATAAAGTTCACATAAAGTAAGTAATTATATAAAGTTTATATTAAACACGGTTTATATTATAGGCTTAACAAAGTTGATATTATATAAAACTTAATATTGAACATGTAAATATACAAAGTTTCAAATATAATTTAAGGAATATATAACGTTTATATTAAAATATATAAAGTAAATATATAAAGTAAATATATAAAGTAAGAATTAACAGTAACAATTCCAAGGACTAGATTTAACTTAAAAGGTACACCCGTAGTAAGGAGACCTTAGCCTATAGTGACATGGAAACTAATTTTGCGAGGGCAGCGGCGAGGGCAGGCGGAGTGAGGCGGAGCCCCGTTGTGCGCCCGTATTTATGCGGCCCCAAACTGCCCGCGCAACGCCGCGGGACGCGCTGCGCAATTGTTTCTTTCTCCCCCGCCAGAAACATCCCCGCTTGTGTTGCAAGCAGTGACCATTTCCCCCCCTGCAAGCACCCTAGTGTAGGTAAAGTAGCTCATCAACCGTACGCTCTAATTTCAGATACACAAAGCAATCACACAAACGTGATATATATCAATGAAAAAATAAATTGGAACAATTAGGTGACTTAAACTATTGACCAAGGAATTCCCAGCCGAGCACCTGTAAAACTTGGACAGGCTTCAGTAGAAGCCTCCAGACTTCCTGTGGGTTTTGTGGAATTCCAGGTTGTGTAACATATAACAAGTTGTGGTACAGGGGTAAGGTGCATGGTTGGGAGTTTCGGGATTGCTGGTTTTTGTAATTTCATTGCTGCAATTAATTTGTTCATCATTATAGAATTTTATATACCTACGAAAAGTGAAATTTACATTAGTTATTACTTCTATTATCATATTATTATGCAGGAAGAGCCTTATATCATACCTGAGAGCCACTAACACTAGTGGCCTCAATGGAGACAGGAAGCTGGCGGTTTGTCGAAGGCCCCCCCCCCCATTTGCCTTGATCTTTTCCAGTTGTACTTTAAATGTTAATGTGTTTTAACTTTAAATGTTAAATGTTTTAGTTTTGGGACATCAGTAAGATTAACAGTCTTCTAGACGTTAATATTGCCAGGCCTACGTTACAGTCCCACAAATATGGCAGGTAAGACCACTACGGGCTCACCATAGCCCGTGCTAATTGAAACTTTTTGTTCAGAGTAGCTGAATCTTAAACAACATGCCAGGCCTAGGCTCGGCTACAAGTAACTTTGGGAGTTGAAGCCACCTGCTGAAGTATTTCTGAACAACTGTAAACTGTCAGCAAAAATTGTTCACAATTATTCACGCCACCATATAACAGAACGTAACTCGCAAATGTTCAAGAGAGGCATTTCATTTAAAATTGTGTACTACAACAAATATCCCAAGTTTACCTACTTAATTACACACAGAAATCACAATGACGTGATGCATCAAATAAATGCTTGCATCGACCAGCATGTGGATTTGATATATCGGCCCTTGTGGATTTGTTCATTTGCCTACTTACTGTAGATAGTGCACCCATTTAGTTTCGTTTAGTTTGTGGACAGTAGTGGAAATGGTTAAACACAATTATTATCGGCTCAGGAACTGAACCCCAAAAATTAATTTAGCTAAGCAAGTTAGTCTTGATAAGCTAGTTACAGTCTTTAGTAAATTATTATATCAACAATACAGTACATTGACCATGTCGTAGCGCAGTCGATTAAGGCAGCGTCTGGGATTCTCTCGGACGCAGGTTCGAATCCTCGTCACGTCACGGTTCGAATAGATTTGTTCAGGCCATTAAACTTTCCACTACTGCACAATGGATTGGTGCGGTGTGCATGATAATCAAATAAAAATTATATGCAACTGCAGTTCTCACCACAATTACAAGTTTCTTAGCTTACAGATAAGATAATTGTGTTCTGCGTCTTTAACACTCTGGATGGAAATTAGGCCTTTAAAACTAAAACTATTTAAACTAACAAACTCCATGTGTCAAGCAAGGCCTTTTGGTGTCATGGTTATGTTGATTCGGAAAACTGTGAATAGCCAATATATTCAATATACCGTATTCAAGTAATGAAACTAGCTCATCAAGGCTGCAACTTAGTTAACACGAATTTTAGTATTCAACTCCCAATTCCATTATGTGCCACTAACCTTTTTCCATTACCACTCATAGGATGGGTATAGGGTGTATAATTATTCTCATTATCAGTGTCGGGAAACCTATACCAAGGCAGGCATCTTGAGGTCTCCCTAGGTAACTACTCGCCTTCCCCCAGGGTGCAACCCACATTTTTATTTATACTGTATATAGGATGTATCTATTTGACTGCTCGGTAAACAAAGGCATCAGGTGAAAGGAAAATCTGCATTGTGTCCTGCACAGGAATTGAACCCCAGGGTCTCTCACTTGTGAGTCACAACCAAGGACATAAGACCATTGTGTTATGGTCTTGAACCCAAACAAAAACTTATTACTAATTAGGAATGTTCATTCAAGCTTAATTAAAAAGAATAATATAAAATACAATTTATTTTTATAGCAGAAATATATTTCGACAGTAAATTAATCATCTTATATCTACTTAGGTAGTTTTTTTTATTTTTTGGAAGGGCCAAGTGTTCATATCACAAGCCACGGCAGGGTGCATGAAATATTTAAACCTACAAATAAATATGAATGGACGAACTTACTACAATCTTATAGTGCTTGAATGAAGGTGAAGGAAAGACCCAATATAAGTGCAAGTGTATTAAAACCAAATTTTTGGATGCCACCTACATCGACAGCACCTTGACAAAGGATGTAAGGTGCATCCAAAAATGTTAGTTTCAATACACTTACACATATATTGGGTCTTTACTGTACCTTCTTAAATATGAATGTAAATAAATAGGTAAGCATATCTATAATTAGTAAGTACACAGTTAAAACTTTATCCCATTATCATGGGGCAGTATATTATGTACTGAAGCTCTTATGATGGCAAACGAGACAGATTAAGAGAATTAATGTTACACATTAAGGCTTGAAGATATGACAAATATACAAATGGAAATATGTACTGTCCTATATTGTATGTTCTTATAAGCTTTTATCGGTGCAGCCTGACTTGAATTAAATTCCGGTTTCAATGGTGAATGCAGCGTTACTCATAAACCATTAATATTTAAATTTTTATGTATTTTATCGAATTACGCAAGAAATTTACTCTTTGAAAAATAATATTGTCTCGCTGATATGTCTGTAGAGAACATTCATCTGTGATCCCAGTGCCACATCTTCCAGCTTCTGCACCGTTGCCTTCCGCCCACGCCGCACCACTATGGCTGTTCCTGTGACAGACAGTACATGAACATAAGCAATGGATATTTTTTTCCTTTACAGTTATGTTAGCTATATAAAATATATTAGTTTTTAATATTAAGTGAAAGGTTTAGCAAGCTTAAAATTTTGTTCTCTCATAGCTTAGTTTTGATTCCTACAAACACGTGCCAGGAGAGTTCAAACATGGCACACAATGAAGGTAAACTAGATTATGTGTGCACAAATTATAATAAAAACTAAGAAATATGTAAAAATATTTCCATGAGTGAATCTCCAACAATCATAAATATTCACTTCATCATATTCTCATCAGTAATGCAAATTTTAGCACATACCAGTAACAATCAGAGTATGGTCATCCTCGCCATGGAATGTAGTATCACAAGTGACAGTGACACGCACTCGCTTAATCACGTGCCCTTCTGGCGACACAACACAGCTTTCCTCCATCTGAGGGGCATCTGCGCGGAACACTTGTGCATGCCCAAGCTCTTTCCCAGACGAGGTCATAATTCTGTGGATTATTTTTAGCAATAATTCAGCAAAAGCAAATCAACATTAAGAACAGAAGGATTCTAATTTTGAGAAAATGGGAGGTATCGTACATTATAACACTTATTACTAATTTTAAGTATATTTATGTAAATGCAAAATTTTGGACAAGATTAATATATAGTGAATAAGCATGAGGAGGAAGTAACTGAAAGGTAAGGATACAGAAAAAGAGGAAATAACAAACTAAAAATACTGTAATTACTGTATACTTTAAGAAATCTATACCTAAATTTATCACCGGGACTGACAGCTTCGATGGAGAAGCCGTAACCTTCAGGATTTGTGTCGCTCCAAAAATAGTTCCCATTGTTGTTTAGATTATTACTTGCAAAGGTTAGTCGTTTACCGTACCCACGACCAATAGCTTGCAAAACTAGAGCGTCGCCATTAAACAATAATTTTTTCGAGTCTGCAGCACGGACACGATATTTGAAGCCTGTGAGAATACGTGGATCCACATATGTCCCAATGACTGGCATCTCGTGTGGCAGAAGACCTAGAAAATTATGTGAAACATTAAGGGAATTAATACCAGCAATACAGCTTAATACTATACAACATTAAATACTATACATATTAATTACTGTGCTGTATCCAACTCATCTTAGGTAACAATTAAAATAATTTAACAAAATGATGTATAGTCATTAGCCATACAAGAGGTAAATAGCATAATAACAAATAATTTACCTTTAATAGAGTACTTGGCTGGGACATCACCAATCTTATCACCATTGACAACTGAGATAACAGAGGAAGTGTCCTCCCCGGCCACCAGCGTGTACCCGCGCTCTCCCCCAACACTGCACTCCTTAACTGTCAACATTTGGAATTTACAGTATACAGTATAGAATATGTCAGTTTGAATCTAAAATAATCAAATGTGCATTAATGATTATATAAATGTTGATTTTTAAATTGACAGTTTTCAAGCTCAGTGTAGCAATACTGTAGAATTGTAATATAATAATAATATTTATAGATAACATTAACCAGCCCCTTACAGGAGCTGGATAATAAAATATTTTAATGTAAACACTACATAAGTAAATTTATTGGCTTTACATAGTATATAAGCTAATAAATACCAAGAAACATAATGAACGTATAGGCATCAAGAGGACAGGGACTACTAAGCACAACTTACTTTCCTTAAGGGAAGCAGCGGCTCTGGAACCTTTGGCCCTAACCGCTATAGCCACGCCCTTCACCATCAACACTTGTTCCTTGTTTAACTCTCCGAAGAAGAAAACTTTACATTGTAGTGATACCTTAGCCCGCTTCTCAATTACACCATTTTGGAGATTGTGACCGACTTCTACTTGGGGCCCCTGAAAATAAACAATTATCTCATTTAGAATGGCTTTGTTTACTGTTGGTAATTAGTTTAATTAAAAAATGTAAATGAAGCTCAAATACAACTGTACTACATATTAGGCAATCAAGGAAAGAATCCCCAGTCCTCTGTGCTGTACTAGACATACAGTAGCTTACAATACTGTACAAACAATAGTATGATATTTCATAATATTACTAAATAATATAAATATTATATGAATAATATACATAATTACTGTACATAATGTTAAAAATACACATATACAAAGTCCATTCTTAACTCAACACATATCTATGGAGGCATTCTTAACACGGGTTTCTGTATCAACATCTTTCATACTTGGTGTGCATGATCTCTTGTAACAGATTTATTATCGATAATTTTCCTAGATTAACTACAGCATGTACCAGAAGCACCACCCTGCTCAATTGGATATTTAGATCCAAATGAACAAGTGTTCTTCATTCTCAATGTGAAAGCTTTGTTGGTCATGTCAGCATCACACAGCTCTAAGCAAATCATCCATAATTACAACAAAATAATGAGCAAGTATATAATATTAAAATAATGTATTCATTATAGTTTTCTGACTGCCAAAACCACCTGATCATGCTAAACCTTCACTGAATAGAAAAATTGTTCGAAATGGATTACTAAAACTGTAATTGATCTGAAAATATATACAATCAAAATACAATATCAGTACACACACAAATCACAATAGCGTGATGCATCAAACGAACAAATCCACAAGGGCCATGATGAGGGTTCGAACCTACGTCCTGGATGATCCCAGACTCGCCTTAGTGGACTGTGTCATGACATGGTAAAAGAATTTCAACCTGGAGTGCTTCTGCCCTCACAAGGCTCCTGCAGCTTCTCCGTGTGTGTGTGTATTCACCTAATAGTGCTTGCGGGGGTTGAGCTCTGCCTCTTTGGTCCCGCCTCTCAACTGTCAATCAACAGGTGTACAGGTTATTGAGCCTATTGGGCTCTATCATATCTACACTTGAAACTGTGTATGGAGTCACCCTCCACCACATCACTTCCTAATGCATTCCATTTGTCAACCACTCTGACCCTAAAATAGTTCTTTCTAATATCTCTGTGGCTCATTTGGGCACTCAGTTTCCACCTGTGTCCCCTAGTGCATGTGCCCCTTGTGTTAAATAGCCTGTCTTTATCTACCCTATCAATTCCCTTGAGAATCTTGAATGTGGTGATCATGTCCCCCCCTAACTCTTCTGTCTTCCAGCGAAGTGAGGTTTAATTCTCGTAGCTCATACCTCTCAGCTCGGGTACTAGTCTGGTGGCAAACCTTTGAACCTTTTCCAGTTTGGTCTTATCCTTGACTAGATATGGACACCATGCTGGGGCTGCATACTCTAGGATTGGCCTGACATGTGGTATACAAAGTTCTGAATGATTCTTTACACAAGTTTCTGAATGTCATTATTATGTTGGCCAGCCTGGCATATGCCGCTGATGTTATCCTCTTGATATCCTCTTGGCTGCAGGGGACAGGTCTGGCGTGATGTCAACCCCAAGTCTTTTTCTCTTGACTCTTGAAGAATTTCATCTCCCAGATGATACCTAGTATCTGGCCTCCTGCTCCCTACACCTATCTTCATTACATTACATTTGCTTGGATTAAACTCTAACAACCATTCGTTCGACCATTCCTTCAGCTTGTCTAGGTCTTCTTCAAGCCTCAAGCAGTCCTCCTCTATCTTAATCCTTCTCATAATTTTGGCATCGTCAGCAAACACGTCACACACGTCAGTGTGTGCGTGTGTAGAAAGACAGAAAGAGAGAGAGAAAGAGAGAAAGAGAGAGAGAGAGAGAGAGAGAGAGAGAGAGAGAGAGAGAGAGAGAGAGAGAGAGAGAGAGAGAGAGAGAGAGAGAGAGAGAGAGAGAGAGAGAGAGAGAGAGAGAGAGAGAGAGAGAGAGAGAGAGAAAAAAAAGCTGCAGGAACACCCAATAGCACTCAGTAGTCACAGACCAGAAGTTCGTTTTCATTGACAATTCACTTATATGAGAGAACACGAGCCCCAATTGTAACAAAAACTTGCCTAAATCACAAGCCAATTATATCAGAAAGTATAATATACTTATGTATGTATATATATACATATATGCATATACACACACACACACAATATTGCTATCAGATAAATAATAGTAGCAGTAAATATTTTAAGAAAATTGCAAATCTCACCCTGATTTTGAGGACCTCTGCTGTAGCTACTGGCAGGTTATTAGCATCTTTCAGAGTAAACTTGTCCCCCTCCTGGACAAGACACAGTCCAAAGCCATATCCTTCAGGGTGAGTGTCAGACCAGAAGTAGTTATTGTTGACGTTGTAAGAATCTCCAGCAAAGGTAATCCTCTTGCCGTAGCCGGCGCCCACCGATATCAACCTCAAGGCCCGCCCCTGAAATGCATCATTCTGATTAGTTACTACAGCATTAAATATATTTTTATACCGAAGACTCAACATAGCTGCAAATACAGATACAAAATAAGCAAGTGGTCACTGAATAGTGGACTACTAACCTTAAAGAGTAGCTTTGTTGAATCTGCATGTCTAACATGGTAGCAGAAGCCAACAGTGATGGCAGGGTCAACATAGGTGCCCACAACAGGTCGCTCGTGTGCCAGGAGGCCCTCCACCCTGTATGAGGTGGGCACATCCCCCACCAGGCTGCCGTCCACAACACGCACACCATCGCTCCACCTAGTATCACATTCTTCAAGCTGAAAGAGCGAGTACAGTAAGTATGTGGTAGTGGCAGAGTTTGTGGTGGCGGGTCAACAACAAACTTGCTGATGGCTTACAAACTTTCATTGTCGACCCAACCGGTGAGTTGCCCTGTTTTGCATGTGCCCATTTATATATATATCTTACCACAACTTTACTTTTTTGGGCATGCAAGTTTTCGTTTTTTAATATCTATATCACAATACAATATTTGTAAAATAGGGGCCAATAAAGTGTGTATTGCCAAGGCCCTCAAAACAAAAAAAAAGATTTTTCTTTAAGTTCATCCAATTAGAATTCAAACAAAATTAAATGACCGAGTGAAATGCAAATTCATGTGCCATGCAAAATCAATTATTAAAACAAACTGTGTATTATTTTCATTTTCCAAAGCACAAGTCAATAATGTACCACTGAATACTTAATTGAATAATATGTTATGGCACACAATGTGTTTAAAAGTGCATGAGCTACTGATCTGGAATTGCCTTTAATTTTGGATAATTTTTTTGAAAATGTGGAGCAGACTTTAGAAAATGTATTATCAATTTACAAATACCAAAGAGCTATTCCACCTGGGAATGTTAATATATCTGATTCGAACAATATTGAACAATGGCCTGTGTTTGGTGAAGCTGAGCCGGTTTAGGTCTGACAGTGGCAGCCAGAGAACGACCGGCAGGACCCGGTTATGATGAGTTGTCTTCCTCGATGCCCGGGGCGGTCGATGGCTACTGCTCCTCTTGCTTCCCCTCTTCTACATACGGCTCCCGCTGCCTTGTCAGACCCGAACATTGACTACAGCGACCTTTAGTTAATATACTACTAGATCCTTTTTTAACTTTACTCTTTTAAAACAAACACGCTAAGTTATGAAACGTGTCTTTATATAGATGGATGGTATCCAGACCAGTCAGCTTGTGGCACGGTTAACAAATTCAAGCATTCACGTTACTTAGAGAGGCTCATTCGAGATTAACTCAGATGTTGAGATAGTCTCTGTGTGCCGGGAAGTGTCCGGGGGTCTGGAAAGGAGAAGGTGCACGAGCGGCGACGTACCAACAAGTCCTTCCTACTTCTCAACTTGTCTTAGCATAGACTACAACAATGTTATCTGATACCCCATCCCACCACTCAGGCCTGTCTTAACTTTAGCTACAATAGTACTGTACTACCAACAAGTCCTTAACCAACCAATACTGTTTTAACTTTGGCTATATAATAATACTCTCAACAATTTATTCCCATCAACCAACCTTTTCTGAACTAGAACAAGGGGTACCCACAAGTCCTTCCAACCAACAACCCTCTGCCTTAACTTTGAACAATGGCACTTTCCTAGCTCGTCTCTATATGGATATAAAACCTCTCCCACATGGATATAATACATTTTTATCTGACTAATTATTTGAAAATAATTACCCTGCCTTCCTAAGATATTTGCAGTGATCTGATCCAATTTAACTCATTCATATTACTCAACTCTGGGGTACGTTTAAATCAATTATTTAATATTTATAATGAAACTTTCAACAAATTATGAGATGATTTTGAAAGTAAAATTATAATTACTGAAATTATAAATAAATAAAACAAAATGTAATTGATATGGTGATATACTGATTGCCACTGAAAATGATCGTGGAATGTCGAGAGGAAGCTTGGGCACACCTGGACTTGGTAACGTCTTCAGGCATCGCTGTGTAGTGCCAGAACAATATTAGGCAACCATCATGATTCATTATCCAGATAATACCCGGTATTCCATCGACAAACCAGGAATCAGTATTTTCAGGTTCCACGTTTAAAATATCAAAGTTTTCCACAATTAGAAATAAAAAAAAGGTGTTTAAATACCGCCAGAGACCTATCTAACTGATGGTGATGGTGATAGCAACAAGCTGTGGAAGTCTTACCGTAGTATGATGATGGTGGTGGTGATGGTGGAGCGCCTCTAAACAACTCTCTTCCTCTTCCTGCTGCTGCTGCTTCCTCGCCTCCTCCTGCCACACAAAATCAATGTTAAGAATTAAAATGGTATCAATAACATTCACGTGCAAATAAGCCATTAAACTCATTCAGAGCCTGTCAGCACATAACTCAAGTATGTCCGGAATCATTAATATTCATCCACAGTATTGATTATCTGCAGGTCGCGTGCTGGAAGCAGCTAAGAATAGCAAGTCTGGCGCGGGTCAATACTGCAATCTGCTCCGAGAACTGTACCAATGAGAGGCCATTGGGAATGAGGTCCCGGTAGTACAGTTGGGTTCCAAATGGTTGGGCACATTTCCTTTCACCCAATGCCGGTGTTCATCTAGCAACTAAAGAGGTACTCGGGAGTTAGTCAGTTTGTTGTAGAGGGTTGCATCCTGGGCGGGGTGGATGGATGGATGGAGGGATAGATGGATGGATGGAGGGATGGAGGGAGGAAGGATAAAAGCCATAATTAAGGTGTATGAATACACACACTGGCTTTGTTCCCAACACAATGAATTGCACCACAATTCACACCGCAACCTGTCATGAGTGCCAATGAAAGGTCATCAATACCTGACGTCACAACCTGCCGTGAGTACCAAAAGGAACATTTGCCTTGGATTTTCACAGACAGTCGGAGAGGGATAATACACCAAGAATCTCCACAAAACCTGGCGAGCACTATACTGCCATGCAAGTAAGTAATTATCAAAAGAAGGCACCAACCCGGGAAGGCTATTATACTGCCATGGAAGAAGTCACACATACACATTTATGGATCATCCAGTATAATAAGATTCCTTTATGTTACTAATGATCGGCTTTAATTAAGACCCTGGCGAGTCTGCGAGATTTAAGACCCTGGCGAGTCTGCGAGATTCACATCAACTGCTGATGTAAATCTAACTTAAGCTTTAACTATTAACAAAACAATTCGTACTTCCAACATCACTATGCAATGTGAAAATATCTCAGAAATTAAAAATGACTGATCACCAATGTTCGAGAAGCCTAAATAATAGGTAATTGGGGAGCAGGTGCTCTTGTGGAGGCTTAATCTTCAACCATCAATCCTCCAGGTCCTCAACTTTCCCACCGTCGCCTACGGAATGGCGACTTTAATAAATTAATTGAACTCTCATAATTCACATGTCTCTGAACTACGTTTGTAGCGGCGGCATGTACTGACCTTATCCTGGTGGTGGAGGTGCTGTTCCCAGGTAGTTAGCGGGGGCAGATGGGGGATGAGTGCCCCAGGGGACAACGCCCTCTCGAACTTTCTGGCCACACTCCTCCAGAACCTGGTCAGCTCCTGGGACATGACGGCCTCACGAGTGGCAGACACGGGTAGCGACGCCATCTTCAGCTCCTCGAAGTCGACAAGGCCCTTCGAAGTCGATGCTTGTCTCAAATACAAGAGATGGAATAGCGAAGTGGGCACTCTTGCTGTATATTTATATATATATGTAATGTAATATGTTTCTCAGCGGAGGTCAGTAGCGAGATTGTGGCTTGGTTGAGGGAGCAGGGATCAATGAGCCGGCGTGGCGGCCAGGGGGGTTATTTATAAGGTGCGCCGCCATGCTGCGCTGACTTGCTGGCCGGAGGGAGTGGGCAGACCCTCTCTCTCTCACCCAGTCGCTGCGTCTTTGTCTCTAACGGTAATCACTGATCTACATTATAGATACATTTTTTGTAATGATAATAACTAAATGTAATTGTCATTGTATCTTCAGAGAAAGCTTGAGAGAGCGGCGCGAGTCTGCCTGCGATGTTGGGTCTAGTCATCTCTGTTGCCAGGCCGCTATAGTTAGTCATTATTATCATATCTTCCACTTATACCTGTCATAAACAAATGATATACATTAAATATTCTAACTAAATTCTTCTACAGCTGATACGCTAATCAGATTTGCAGGATAGTTAAATCAAAAAGCAAGTATGAGAAATTTGCACTAGGCAGCTATATGGCGCCTCTGACCGTTGAGTGACGGGGCGGCCACGTGATCACCGCGTGACCCCCGCCTGAACCCCTGTATTGATAACCATTAAACACAGCTTATAGTGTCCCCACCATAAAGACAAGTCCCATGAACAAATACACCATTAAACTGAGCATGTTTCTGTTGTATTCTGACGCATACAATAGCCGCAGCTGTTATATATACGTCAGGCAGGCCAGCGCCATGTGTTTCCGGATGTCGGGCTTCTTGCCTTTTCATTATAATATGTGTAAATAGTATAATAATATTAGGCTCCGTCCAGGCTAATAGACGGATGGATGCCGTGAGGCATCGCGTAGGAGTAGTGTTATGGTTTGTTGTATGGATGGTGGGATGGTGCAGGTGGTGGGTGACCTACACTGATGTTAGTGGAATTCTCCATTGGCGCCTTGGGAAAAATACCTCCCTGGCCGGCTCCCCCCACCACCACCACCCGACCACCCCCTAGCTACGCACATTTTTTTTTATATTTATTTAAGAAAATACAATATAAATGACATATACATAAGTTTTACAAGGCAATTATACATTACAATTCTTAGTGAACAAGTGTTTCAGTAGTACAGAACAAGATCTTTAAAAAAAAAACCTGAATGTTGTACTTATTTACCTATAAACGATTTACAAAAATTGGAGAATAAATTTACATTAAAATACAGGGGAAATTATTACATTTATATATATTTTATATAATTCTCAGTAAACAAATTTTCCATATCATCACCGAGCATGAGCCTTAAACCCCAAATGTTATACCTGATCCTGCCTCGCAAGAATTCAGCTACGCACATTCAGGTGTTCTAGACCCCTAGCTACGTACACTCAGGTGTTTTCGACCCCTAGCTACGCACATTCAGGTGTTCTAGACCCCTAACCACGCACCTCAGGTGTTTTCGACCCATAACCACGCACACTCAGGTGTTTTCGACCCCTAACCACGCACCTCAGGTGTTTTCGACCCATAACCACGCACTCAGGTGTTCAAGACCCCTAACCACGCACCTCAGGTGTTTTCGACCCCTAACCACGCACCTCAGGTGTTTTCGACCCATAACCACGCACACTCAGGTGTTCAAGACCCCTAGCCACGCACCTCAGGTGTTTTCGACCCCTAACCACGCACCTCAGGTGTTTTCGACCCCTAACCACGCACCTCAGGTGTTTTCGACCCCTAACCACGCACCTCAGGTGTTTTCGACCCATAACCACGCACTCAGGTGTTCAACCCCTAACACGCACACTCAGGTGTTTTCGACCCCTAACCACGCACCTCAGGTGTTTTCGACCCCTAACCACGCACCTCAGGTGTTTTCGACCCATAACCACGCACTCAGGTGTTCAAGACCCCTAACCACGCACCTCGGGTGTTTTCGACCCCTAACCACGCACCTCAGGTGTTTTCGACCCCTAACCACGCACCTCAGGTGTTTTCGACCCCTAACCACGCACCTCAGGTGTTTTCGACCCCTAACCACGCACCTCAGGTGTTTTCGACCCCTAACCACGCACCTCAGGTGTTTTCGACCCCTAGCTACGTACACTCAGGTGTTTTCGATCCCTAGCTACGTACACTCAGGTGTTTTCGACCCCTAGCTACGTACACTCAGGTGTTTTCGACCCCTAGCTATGCACACTCAGCTGTTCTCGACCCCTAGCCACACACTAATAATAATAATAATATTATTATTATTCTATATAATAATAATATTATTATTATTACTATTAAGAAAAAAGCTTGAGTACACACCTTAATGTGCTGCCTCCCTATTCTATATGAGGGATTACAGAATAAAGATCAAGAGCTTGCTATGAGTTCATCTAATATGCCCATCTCGCAGGATGGTTAGCGAATCTAGTCTACTAGGCTGCACATGCAACAGAGCCCAAGAAGATCTTTAAATATTCGTGAGTATGAAGTAGTTACAGTGTTCAAAGTATATCATACCACTCAGTCTGAAGTTGTTGACTACAAGGAGCTCATATATATAGTGGTTGAGTGTGTTCTAGCTCTTGTAAGTGGAATGTTCATTGTGGGGCGATGCATTACCGGCAGCCAGCCACCTGCCCTAAGTATCAATATCCTGCCTAATTCTGGCAATTGCAATGTCACACTGGTGGATGATTGCTGTGATTCTAAAGACGATAAATAACACCATTCAGCTGCTCTACAAGAGGATACCATTCAGAGGTTCAAAACTACATGTACTTATAAGCTTGAGTGATGAGGGAATCAAGTGACTGTTCCCAAGGCCTAGCGTGCTAATGTGTGGGCGTCAACTATTTATGCTGTCCGTATATATAGCTATTGGTTCTAACTATATCATAACCTCTTTATACTAGTGCTTTCTGTCTTTTGAGCGTCAGTGATTTCTCTTCTGTTAACCCAAGTTTTCTGAAACAGAGATTAGAATACTTAAGGCTAGCTCAGTTTCAGGCTTCATATGCAGCGTTAGCTGCTTTGTCTCTATCACCATTTTGGACAATACTATGTGAGATGGTATCCATACAAATTGAGATTTTGAAACTCTTGCTATTTGTATTAATTATGTTGTTTATAATGGATGTTACAACTGTAGTATATAATTTGCCTGTCGAGCTTCCAAGTGTGTTGTACTGATCCCGAGGGCGGCGACATATATTATGCATGGACCAGGAATTTTAACATAAGCAGGAAACACACACACAGATCCATATTGATTAATTCCCTGTTTGTTTAATTTGTCCTCGAGTCCTGAGTCCACTAAGTGCATTGTAGCCCCCATGAAGCGGGATGTAAACACCTCCCCAAGTCTGGCGACATTGGCGGCCTTGCATCAACATGATCAACGTGATCTTATGTACAAAACAGCATGGTAAGAGTGGACTAATATAGCCAAGCTTCCGGCTGTGAGAGGGTCACACTCGGGCTGAAGGGTCAAGGTTGTACTACCATCACCCTGCTGCCATGACCTATATTGACTCTATAAATAAATTGTGGTTACGGTTCATCGTGTTTAACCAGCGAAAAACATGTGCTTTAGGTAAGAAATATTTAGGTTTATTAGATAATGCAGTGTTTAAGAGCTTGAATACGTACTGGATATTATTTCTTCACTGATGAAGGCAAATGTGTTTGAAGAGGTAGTAATGGTAGTACAGTATTGGTAATGTTATCAATAAGGAGGTAGCCTAAAGCACGCTTGGTAACCCCCCTCCCTCAACCCCCCCATCCCAGTGGTCCGTCCGCACCATTCGGAACAAAGCAACAACACCCTCACCGTCACCATCGTCTCTCACCGTCACCGTCGTCTCTCACCGTCACCGTCGTCTCTCACCCTCACCGTTGTCTCACCGTCACCGTCGTCTCTCACCGTCACCGTTGTCTCTCACTGTCACTGTTCTCTCACCGTCACCGTTGTCTCTCACCGTCACCGGTGAGAGTGTCTCACACTGTCACCGTTGTCTCACACCGTCACCGTGTGAGAGCAGCAATAAGAGCAGACACCAAGCACCCCGGATGGTGTCCTTACATATTATCTTAGCATTCCATGCGCAACATCCTTCCTCGCGTGCTAGTAATCATATATATATATATATATATATATATATATATATATATATATATATATATATATATATATATATATATATATATATATATATATATAGAAGGAAAGATTCCTTCTGAAACTGTATGAAAGTACTCTATTGATTTATTAAATATGGTAGACAGTGGCTCGGAAAGCTCCTCTTTGCATAGCTCCAGCCTTGAGGCACTCCACTTACAACATTTTCCCACTCTGACTTAACCTCATTTATACTAACTCTTTGTTTCCTTTGGTATAGCCATGCCCTAATCCAACTTAATTTAATATAGCACCCCCAATGCCCACGAGCCTCTTTTTTTTTTAATCAGTCTTTCATGTGGCACTGTATCAAAAGCTTTGCTAAAGTCAAGGGGCACAACACACACACAAATCACAATTGCGTGATGCATCAAATGAGCAAATCCACAAGGGCCGTGACGAGGATTCGAACCTGCGTCCGAGAGCATCCCAGACTCTGCCTTAATCGACTGAGCTACGACATGGTCAAAAGGAGTTGAAACCGAAGTTCTACTGAACTTACTGGATTCAAGTAAGTTCAGTAGAACTTCGGTTTCAACTCCTTCTGACCATGTCGTAGTTCAGTCGATTAAGGCATATATATATTTAGGGTTATTAGATAATGTAATGTTTAAGAGCTTCCGAGCTCTTGAGTTTTCTAATGTTGTTTTCTTAGTCGTAGTGTTTTCGTTGTACCGACGTACAACGAAATTATAACGTAGAAATCTGAACTATTGAGTTGGACAAACCGGAAAACTATGTTGACCAGACCACACACTAGAAAGTTGAAGGACGACGACGTTTCGGTCCGTCCTGAATCATTCTCAAGTAGGAAAATTATTTTGTACTTGTGTTGCTTTTACAAATTAAGTGACCTATCCTCAGTTACAAACCCATTATGATTTCAACTTAGATTCAACAGAGCAGAAGTTGTCAAACACATGGGGCAAAATCTTACTGAAGCGACCATACGAGTCATAAATACTCATACTCCGCCCAAGTAAAAGAG